CCCTTCCCCTGTTCTGTACTGTACTGTTGTCATAGATATTTTGTTGTATAAAAGAATGCGAGATATGTACAAGCATACAAATGAATATATTATATGTTTAAAATAATCTTCTCTAATCCTACTTGCTGAATCCTATCTTTCCATTGTTAAACAATTATAATTTCGTAAGGTGACATTTGCATTCATTGTTTTATGTATTTTATGTATTATTTTATGAATTTTTGGAGATGTACAGCGTGGGACAATGATTCGGTCTGTGTCAATTTCCTCTAGGGAGAGACAAGATTAAAAAAGGGAACAAGTCTACTTACGTCTTGTTTTTTTCATTGCTCGATCTAGCATCGATGCTGATAGTTTTGGCTTTGGCGTTTAAAAACAAATAAAATACAAACAAATAAACTATTTAGATACAGCAATTTGTACAATCAAATGTAAATCATTTAAGATTCTTATATAGAATCAATTTAAAAATGTTATTGAAATTATTATACACAATTAAGTAAAATCCACAAAATTGTTATACACAAAATTGTTATACAGCAAAATCCACAAAATTGTTATACAGTATACACAATACTACAACAACGTTGTGACTACAACAATTCTAATCCAGTTTTAATGAATCAAATAAACTGAACCAGCTTCTTCTTAAAAAAAAAATATGATTACCGTAGTGATACGTAATCCTGACGAAATGACTTGTTTAAAAACAGTTCCACTTACATAAATTACTTCAGTTGGTTACTTAGATGCGCGCGAAGAGTGGCATTATATTTTCATCTGCACGATATCCATAATTGCGACAATTTTATTAAGTCAAATGATTAGAACTCTAATGGAAAATCGTCTCACGCGTTTGAAATATATTTCAGTAGCAAGTAGTAACCGTAGAATAAGACGCACTAGCGTCTCAGCACGTCGGATACGGAAACGTCGTTGGAGCGTGAACGCATGCAGAATGTCGTTTCGCGGCGCGTTCAAACAGCGCGGTTGTAGCGCGTCGTGACGTAGCCGAAGAAAAATTCCAATTATCTCGCGCTGGAACGACAGATGGTTGCTTTCGCCTCGATCCTAATAATCGCATCACCGCGCTCCGCGTGATTTTGTCACAGGGATCAACTGTCATCGAGTCTTAATTGAGATGCCGTGAAAATTTTTATAGTTTTCCACATACGTACCTTCGAACGAGACGGTTTGTTAAAGTGAGAGTGAGAGTTGCGAATTCCCTCGCGAAGTTTCAAGTGACGTAATGTGCCTCGCGTCCACACTTGTCAGCTAGCGACGATTCTCCTGAAAACGTTGATCAACGATCACGTTATTTCCCTTTGACGCATGTACATAATTTTGACAGTTAATATTGAATAAGAGTCATGCTGCAAACGGAAGATTTGCCGCGTATGACACCGTTGTCACCCGGCAGCGATGCAACAAATTCCAAGTCAACAAAACTGATATGCAAGGTAAGTGTGTATCTATAGCCTGTAGCGTATGAAAATGTGTAATATATACGTCTGTGCGAGACGCGTGATCAAGCCTCGCGTGCATGTATTCGCGGACACGACTGTCTGAGTGCATCCAGCCAGCCTGCAGACCAGGCGATCACACATGTTTGCGTATTTGCTTGATCACTCATGGACTTGTATTAGCAATTTAAATATGGCAACCGCGCATAGTGTACCAACGTTACCACGAACGAAATTCCTTTATTCTCGCCTCGCTTATCTGATCCACTTCTTTCCAATTTCAATCGTTTTTGGTAATAATTGCTGCCTGTATAGATATACGAGCGAAGGACACTCTTTACAGTAGGTATACATATAATTGTATCTATACCTGGTAGTCCGTAGCATTTACTAATGATAAAAATGTTCGTCATATTTGATTGAGTTATCAATCGAATATCAATCGATTTTCCGCGAGCGTCGTCACGATTCACCTTTGAACTTGATTTACAAGTTTGCTATATTTACTGTTCGCGTATTTTCAATAGCTTCGTTCAGAGAAAACTATGCTAGCTATTTTAAAATAAAATACTACTTAAAGTAGTATAATTACACTTATGTACGTATCTGTCATATAATTACAAATATGTATCGTCGTTCGTCTATAATTCAAAATGTTTGCGCACAAAGATTGCAAACTTTTTTGTCTCTTATGCATTCTCCAATCGGAATGATAAATCGTGAAGAAAAACATTTTCTTATCTGTGCATGAGCTTACGCAAACAATAAAACTATTGCGACAGTTCAAATTCTGCCTGCGCATGCGAATTTTTACAACTACACCATACGAGAATGACATTATTAAAAATTGCGTGTAACGAAAAGAATTTAAAAAAATTGTTATACAATTAATATATGAACTTCTGTTGAAAAATTGATGAAAACACGATGAAATAGATCGTTACATAAGTGCGCGCGTATCAACTTGGGATACTTCACGTTTTAGTTGAATATTTATATTCGAATGTATAAAAAGCATCGTCCGTTTTAAATCTGCACATTGAAGCAGTGCGTACGTCATAATTGCTCTTAATATTTTCATTCCTTTATTTTCTTATCCTTGTACCATCCATTGAGCTTAATACTTATTGCTACTTCTTCGATTCCTTTTTCAGTCTTCTTATTACGTCTATCAGTATTTTATCCATATATTCATTCTACATTATTTATTATCTTCTTCCTGTTATCGTACGTACACTGTTTAAGAGACTGCTGATGTTTTACTGAACGAAAGAGCGAAATTATGTAAATGACAAAGAAGTACGTTTTTAAGAACTCATTGGCCGGTATTCAGAGTCGTTACTTGTATTTAAGATCGCCTTAGGCATTTGCTTAAGTTCCTGTTTCCTGTACAAGACAGGGACTGGAAATATGGGATAGACAGGAATAGCAAATGCTTAAGACAATCTTAAGAATAAGCAACGACCCTGGATACCGGGCATTATCAGTGTATGTAAAACGAATATCGCACATGGGGAGAAACTCGGACTTGGCGCGGCCCTGAGAAACGACGTTGCCGTAGCGAGTGCTGAGTCACATATCGCGAGCGATCTCTCCCAGGAAGGTGTGCTCAGTCCGTTTCTCTGTGAAATGCATCACATCGCATTAGTATAACGTTATCACGGTCCAAATTACAACATTGTCGTGATGAGATGATTTAAAAAAGGAGGTAGTTGGCGCTTGTCGCGTGCCTCGAGTATTTAATGATTACAAATTTCGTACGTAAATTAGTTTTCGCGGATCTGTCAATCTTCGCTCGTTTATCGTCGAACTGTGTTATCTTGAAACTTTTCTGAAAGCCGCGATCTCGCGTGTCAGTGGTAAGGAAGTGTCGCGAGAAATTCGAAAAAGCATCGAATTGTCAAACGAGATCTCGAGGCATGCGTGGGACGTGCGCGAAGTGTGCTCGAGTTTGACGTGGCCAGTGCGCGTTTTGAGGTTATTTTTGTGTTCAGTGTAACTGACCTATACTTGTTTAAAGAGATCCGAAAATCTTTATTTTCATCCTGACAGTACGTCGAATAAGTCGCTTCAGCAAGCACTTTTGGAAGAGTCTTTCTTCAATTAATTCAAATATCCTGTCAATTGTGTTGATAGGAGAAACAGTTGTTTAAACCGTGCAGCTGCCTCTACTTTAAACAAAGACTTCACCTTTCAACTCTGTGTCACAAGATAGTGCGATTTACAACTTATGCTTTATTGAAATGTGGACAGATGTGCAAACATGGTTTAACACCTTCGAATAAACTGTGACAGGGTTAAGAGAACATCGGTTCAACATGATTGTTTACTTCTATCTAATGTCTAGTATATCCTCTGAATCGAACTACACTGCCAAGCCACTGTGACAATACGCTAAACGGATTTATAGACTGAACATATTTGAGAATTTCAAGTGATTCAGTAAATAGGAGACACAATGTTGTGCATTAAGAAGTTGTACCATGAAGAGGTGTTCCAGCTCGCCTTGCTCCTGTCGCTGCTAAGACTAGATCCGGAGTCCTACCTTGGCTTGGACATCCAAGCCATCGGTGTAGGCTCTTTAGATCTAAACAATGGTTCTAGATGGCACAGCGATGCTTTTACAATAGTGCACCGACCTACTTTTATTCATCCAAAGAATCTAGATTCTATGCTATTGAATTATCAGAGGGATTTGTTCGAAGACTTAAATTCATTAGGAAGATACAATAGAATAAATTCTGGCTTAAATGATATTCATGCATATTTGCTGAATACTGAAGATTCGACAAGAGATGTTGCTATAGCTGGGCCCAGTATATCACTCTCAACAGACCCAAGTAGAGACATGACATCGCCTGGCCCAGAAAATTCAACAGAAAATTCAGATGAACCATCTAACACAGCTGAGCTCACACAAGAGGTACACTTTTACCACTTTTTATAAATAAAATCTTGGGTTCAAGTGTAGTTTTCATTGTATTACCGTTTATAATGTATTTACATTGAGTATTATTGAGTAAATTAAATGGCTCTTACAATTAGACTTTTATCACTTTATATTATATGCATAGTTTTTTATGTGTAAACAAAAGAAATATATATGACTGTCTCTTTTAAAGTACCAGACACTTTAATAAGAATAAGCTTATTATAATAAATGAATATTAAACTGTCTTTTAATTGTATACTACATTTGAAAACAATTTTTTATAAAAGTAATATATTCCAAGGATATCAGCACTGGTTTGACTAAATCTTTTTTGTGTGACTTAAAACCTTAATCCGGTATTTATAAAAGAACATTGGCAATTTGTTAAAATTCATCGCATTCGTTGTAATTTAGACTACTTATTTGAAGATCACGTATACAATGAATGCAGGTGTTGAATATTTTATTTCGTCGATATAATTTAAAACGTAAAAAATCTTAGCGATTTAGCATTATTAGGAATGTATATTTCATTATTTTGAACGTATATTAGCCGTGTCCAAAATATGTTATCACGTGTATCCTTGAGTCCTTGCGATGACCTACAGTTAGGAGATTTTCGTTATTTTTAGTCGGATACACTGAGGTCTTTAGTATTTATTTCTCATATATCTGTTTTTATCTTCCTAACGCTCTTTTCTTTCTTATTATTCTATTTTTATATTCTACTTCTGCTTATAAGAGCGATTCTTGCATCTGCAATTTTCCGGTTGATAAAAGAGACCAAATAAATAATTTTTTTTATACTATTGTATCGGATAAATCTGTTTATTATTGATATTATTATAGCATCTGTTTATTATTGATATAAAAATAACAATTGAATAATTAATGCTAAAGGAAAGATGAACGTTTTTGATATTAATTATTGCCTTCACCATTTTAGAATATGTAGTTTTTATTCCTTCCAAAGAAGTAATATTAGTTTGTCAAGGTAGTAAATAAATTATAAGTGTTAAAGAAACTATTATTATCTTAAGTACAAGAGGCAGGATAGATTCCACGGGTTTTTTTTATCAATTCCACATAAGTAGCGGCTATACCATTTTCTTCGATATCCTTGAATATCCAGGTCACCCATATTGGTTAAGTGGATTAACGAATTCCGTTTCTATTTTTTAACTATCTATTTACTCACGTAATTATTGCCTATAAATTATTTCATAGTGTCCACGTATCAAAAAACAATAATTATATTTGATTGTAGATTTTATTTTTATCGAGTGTAAACCTCAATTCAAGCTCAGTGTGGTAATTTGCATGAATTTTAAAAATCAAACTTAATTTGCTAAGAAAAATATATTATGAATGATTACGGAATGACTTTATCAGCAAATCAGTTGTATTCCTTTGAGTCGTCGGAATTGTAAGTTGCTGCTGTACGTTGCTCTTCATTAAGCATTCATTTATTATTTCTAACGGTGGATAGTACGAAATTATTCGATATTTAATGTTTGATTCAAATTTTTAGATGAAAGTATAGTTTTTAAATTGCAGGATGTCATATATGTTATTTCATTATCTGCTGACGTGTTATGTATTTGATCCTGTTCATTATAAGGTGATCCTCTTACTTACAGAGCTAAAGAAATTGTGAGTCATTGTGCAAGAGCCAATAGGCAGTAATAAAAGTCACGAGGCAACAATTTATATTGCACAAATAAAGAATGTCCTTTAAATATCCAATCCAAGTGTTTTATTGCAGAAAAATGTGTTCATCGTAAATCTTAAGACAAATACTGGAGTATGAGCGTATCTTTTGGATAATTCTTTTGATTATAATTAACGTTTTAATTGGTGGCAGAGAGCAAATGAACTTTTATTTTACGTTAGTGAATTATAAATATCTTGGTCGCGAGCACACACGCGCTTGTTGTCGATGATCGCAGAGCTCTTTTTATCACACGAAGCGACGCATCACCAAAATTTCCTCTGAATTCTCGTACATTGGCCTCGATTGCGAAAATAATTGTATGGAAATACACGAGGGTAAGCGCGTTCTTTGTGAAAAAAAGTAGCGGTAATGGCAGGCGCGATCTGAATTCGGGGAAACATTTTTCTCAACACACGAATTCTAGTATTCAAAATGTGCTGTATATGTAGATGAATCTTTGAGCTGATTTTCGTTAAATAGATATATTTCAATTTTATAAAGTTGTCGAAAGAGAAGATGAAATTCAAAGAATAGTGGTTAACTGTTTATTATAAATATATTAAATTAATAATATATTAGCTATTGATAAAATACTATATTTGAGTCTTTTTTTGTTGATGTTCAGAGGAAAAGTTAATTGTGCGTAGAAAAAATAATAATGAATTATAATTAGAACGTCGATATTCCATAATCTATTGCTAATTAATTGGTATTAGCATTAGTACAGTGCTACTTTTTATTCGAATTTATTATTTTCCAGTTGATTGTTAAAATTGAAGACTAATTGCGATTCGGATAATAAATTTATAATTGGCAGTTTGCCGCGACTGATGCGCGTTTTCTCTATTGCGCTGTATCTCAAACGATGCACACGTGCAATCACTTTGCTATATGTAGAGCAAAACAGAAATCAGATAAGTTTGCAAATATATTTGTATCTGTAGTGATACTGACTGTAGATTTGTGACTTGAAATAGTCTGTTCTTGTGTTTTGCAAGAGATAAAATAAGCTTTTAATGTTTATTTATCTTAATTATATGTATATATCTTATTATTGATAATAGTTGATAAAATGGACGACATAAAGTATTTAACATACTACGATACAAATAATTTTGATACTGGTACACTGTTACAATAGGTATTCGTTATGCATCGACGTAACCGGATATACGTACATGTGTATTCAAGTTTCGTCGTGAATAATTTCAAATGATAATCATGTACCGAATTTTTTCTTTCGTGTACACTATGGACACCCATACCTCCTCGAACCGTTTAGGCACCAAATTTTATTCACTCAGTTTCAACATATATCGATTTCTCTTTACTAATTGCATAATTTTACCAACTACTTATGCTAGGCATATCTCTAAATCTTTTAAGTATATGTATAATACCAGTTTCCTGATTTGATTTGCTTTAGGTAACAACACGTGTTTTCTCGTTTGCATTATTTTCTTTAATACATAAATTAGATAATTATGCGTATATGGAACCTCGAGTTGGAATGCTTAATATAATATTTGATAGAATGTTTTACATAATAATTGATACAAGTACAATAATTAATATAATAAGATTAATAATAATAATAATTGAAGCAACATTTCATATAGTAATTCATATAGGGATAGACTCCGATAGTGACGTAATAAAGCAGAATGTTACCATTGTACTGAGTTTGATAAAAATCTGATGATTAATTGTATTATCGACAAAACTCACTTGACAACAAAACTATAAGATTTTGACGTATTTTGTCGGTCGTGAGCTTTCATCGATCACGTCACGGAAATAGTGATCCATAAATTTTCATAAATCAACATGGCGAATGTATGCATACAATAACCCTGACGACCCGATGCGGTCGAGAAACAAAGGCATATGTACCTTTCCTCGTACCTGGTCAGTGGTTCAAGTAACCAGTTCGATGCGCGACGAACTGCTTCGTGTCGACTGTCGGTCGTCGTCTGCACGCATACGTCTCTTTCCATGTGGAACTTAGCACATTGAAATTGCTTCCGGTTAATTGGCACATAAGATGGCGCGACGTAAGAGGAAACAACCACCGCGATTGATCTCGGTTTTCATACCCGACGACGTACGTTTCAAACTTTGATCAATCGTCCGTTTTAATTAGTGAAAAGTGTTATTGTTACCTGCGTATCTTAAGCCTTGGAAATGACTTTATCCGTTCAACAGTAGGCATGTGCATTTTACAATGCAAATTGCATTCTATGTCACGTGTACTAATTACTATAATCACTAATTATTAAAAGTGATACTTGAAATAGAGTAAAGAGCAAAACTGAGTAACTTTTTTAGTAACGGTTCAAACCACTTATGTATATTTTAGTAGTTGAAGATCGTGAGACAAGAAGTGAAGGTAGCTTTGTTCAAGTATTCTGGACTTATAATAGAAATTTAAACAATATATTTTTAATATTTTGTTACTTTTGGTTTAAAATCGTTATTTTTTATGCTTGTCGTTTCTTTCAGCATTCATAGATTTCAATAAAATTTTCAGCATATAATAATCTCATATGAATAGTTAAAATATAATAATATTGTTCAAATTTTCATTACATGTCCAAATAAAAAAGTTGAGAAAAAACGACCTTCAAATTTTCCTCACAATTTTTACCAATTTCAATTTTTTTGAAACTTTCTTTACAGCTCATTTAACAAAGTAATCCATCTAACCACTGAAAGGAACTCGAATCACTTGGTCCGATTTGACAAAACGTATTAAATTTTAAAAAAGTATTGATTCAGTTTTTCCCTTTACTGACTATACTTGAGAATATATCAGAGATAGTTACTTTAATACATGCAGGTTTAATTATCTTACTTTGTACGAATATCATTAAGCTTTGAAGCTGCTTTAAGAATTCTATCTATAAACATGTAATACATAATATAAAATGTTAACTGTAGTATACTTATCGTAATATGAAGCTGATTTCAATTATACTTTTAATCTTCACGTAATGATTCATTGCACAACCTAGCCCGTTATTTCATTACTTCTCTTTGTTCAAAAATACAAATTATCGATCATTATATCGTCTTATCTGTGTTTATCTACTGTACGTTGATTATCTAAAGTAAAAACTCGATTATTATCAGTAAGTACGTGACTTAAAGGACGCCTAAAATAGGAAATTGTTTTGTCTACGTAAACTATAAATGATATAAGTCTAATATATGTAGAAGTTATGATTAATATTATTTTCTGGTACAACAGATCGATAAATTGCTTGATTTCGTAACATATTTTTCTTTTTCTGTTACAGGTATGTACCATTCGACTCTTTTGGTAGCAATCATTGGTTTGCTTTTATACACCTTAAGATTGAATCGTAAATACTAAGAAAAAATTCTACTTGTCAATTTACTATACCTACGTTCGTGGTAAGTGTCTTTTTCATCAGATTTTATGCAACCACAAAATTGTTTTTTATTTACTTAGGATAATTCTAAAATGCATGTTCTATTACTAAATTAGTATACTAACAATTTTATGCGTTGTTAATTTAGAAAAGATCTTTCGTCGTCAATTTCGAAGTACAATTGCGAAAGCTAGTGCATTATAAGTAGATTTTGATGAATCAGTAGTACGAAATAAGTAACATTGCCAGGAAGATACATTGCATCAATTTCATCTTAATTTCGAGAGACCGAGAGACTCGGAAATAATCTTGATTGCTACGATTTTACGTTAATGCGCTTGTTTGGAAAATTGGCAGACGTCTAAGTGAAAATGCAAAACAGATTGTTTTTTCGATTCTTCAAATTGCTTGAAAAATGTGTTTCGAGATCTCAGCCAAGGTTAACAACATCGAAACCAGTCACAACAGTTTACAAAAATAACTGCATTCTGTGCTTTACAACGTCCCGTACTGCGAGTGCAATGTTCTCGTAACCTTCATTTCTCATATCCCACGCATTTTTACCCATAAACACATTTTGATTTAGGGTCTCTTTTTCCATTTTATAAAATCGGACATAATGTTAATAATTGGTTTTCAAAAGTAATTAGAATAAGGACAAATTAGTATAACAAAAAAAAAATGAGTAAATTTTATAATTACAATTTATCATTAAAATTTGCATTCTGCATTGTCGACAGTATTATCATTTTTCGATTTAGAAGAATTGATCGACTGTTAGGTTTAGTATCTTTCTTACCATTTATCGATTATGTCAGTTAGGTGTTGGTAAAACACAGTTCTACTTGACTTGAAGTACGATATCTGTCTTCGTATACAATGAAAATGACTAAACTAAATAGAAGCTCGTTTTGATTAATGATAACGGTCTCTTAATCAAGACATACAACTCTAATCTTTAGCTTTTAATCAGTTTAAGATTTTAGAACATACAAATTTAGAACTTACAAATTATGAACTCGTTCTGTATTTTGAACAAGTTTTCATAGAATCTTACATTGCTTCACATATTTCTTTTTTCATTGCATTTTTCATGATTTAAGTAGATATACTCCAGTATCACTTTCGTTAGTATCAATCACAAGGTGAAGATGTTATAGAAATTTTATTAACTCGTTATTCTGTATTTTGAAGAATTTTCATAAAATTTTGTAGATACAGAATCTTACAGTGACTTACGCATCTTTTTTATTCCACTTTTCATGATTTCTTTAGTACATGCATAGTAAATTGATAGAATACTCTAGTCGCACCCTTTTTAGCATTAATCACAAGGTGAGTAAGACAGTAGTTTCAAGGAACACAAGTTTGCGTTAACGATCTTTCATGCGAATTTTCTATTTCTTGTGAAGTATCTAAAACATAGTTTTCGCTAAATCGTGCTAAGAATTTTTGTTTTTAAGATCATTGACTTCTTCACGACAAGTAGCAATATGTGTATGAAGATACAGCAGATAGCGGAATTTATCTACAGATATTTCAAGGAGACATGCCAAAATGCACATGTTAATCGAAAAACACTCCTAAAAGTCGATTAACTCGCGATAATTAATAAGAAGTTGAGTGCAGGAGAAGAATACTTGCAAGTACGTTGTACAAAAGTAACTGACATGGGTATAGTTATTACTTTGATAAGAAAGAATCTACATATTATCTAATCTATTATTCACGTACATAACAATGAATCTATTAACATCTGATGCTTTCTCTATTACCTTGTTCTACTAAACATCCCAAATATTAGTTTTTTAGTCCTGAATAACTTTTTACAAAATTAAGTAATTACTACCTCTGTAATGATATATATTTATCACGTGAAATGATTATAAATAAAAGACTTAAGCTTGCAATCATTTTCTTTGTGTCTATGAAAATAACAGATTAAAGAAACAGTGAGTTATACAACACCAGGCACGTGTGTAATATTTCTAGAAAATAACATACGCAGTTACGCGCGGAAATGTTCATTTTCTGCGAAAATTTTATTCTCTACTTCGGAGTAACGTAATATGTATATAGCATAGAGCAAACAGTCCAGCTAGTAATTTTCATTCGCTTCTCTTGCGATTAAAACTGATCACACAAACCAGAAGCGATAACATTACATTTTTTAATGATTAATCCACTAACGGATTAAAGTTTACGATTTAAAAAGTATACATTCGTTTGAATGTTTATTGAATACATACATAAGACAGCATCTCTGTCTAGACTGTTAGTTTCTGCCATATTGTCATTATTTCCCCTATCACGTTTAATGCGTGACGATAGTAATTACTAGGCAGCTCTCAGCCACTTTATGTATAGTCTGAGAAATAAAGTACAGTGCGGTCTTTAATTAAGACAGTAGTTGCTGATTGATGCAGTGTCTCAAGGCTTCTCTCGAGATTTCTCATTGATCTATTCTACAATACAATCGTGTCTGCTTGTTGTTCCTTTTAGTAAATTTTTTACGATCTTATCAAGAATAATCATACCAGTTCAATGGTTATGATATGATCGTGATGAATAAGTTAGTACGCTGCAGATGTTTATGCACATTTAGGGTATCAATATAAAAAGTGCAATCTTAAAGTTTTTCGTAAATGTTAACTTGTATCATACTTTGGACTGCATTTTTTAGTTACATTTTATATTAGTTGAGGAAAAGGTATAGTGAAAACAAAAAGAACATACTTATTACATCACAGGTTGAAAAAAATTGATGTTCTCCATCTACGCTCGCAGTTTTAGCTAAGTTCATTTTTTATATATAACTTCGTAAACTGATTCGTTAAATTTCTCGAAAGAACTCAAATCGGATCGATCAATTAAGAATTATTCGATTCCAAAACGTGTGCGCTTGTTTATCTACTGTACGATGGAATCTCTTGATGAGATTTCATAAATTCGAGGTATGTGCGATAGTATAGACGTGCACTTTCTCCGATATCAAGGTCCCGAAAACGATAAACGTCTCGGTCAAGTTACGAAGAAAACGCAGTCAGTTCTGGCTCGCGGCGAAATTCTACGGGTTTGCGAGTGGTATGGGTAGGAGTACTCCAATGCCTATCCGGTGTTGGTCGTTATCTCTTACGTTAGCACGCAGAGACCAATCTGTCGTAATCCTTAGGCTCGTTCTGTTCGTCCGTCATCGAAGTCGTTCTTTCGTTGACTGAAGCGAGCGCCAACGTTACGCGAGCCATATCGACATTCGCCGTAATTTGTATGGTCATCGACCGATTTTTGGCGAATACCTGGTCTCCAGCGACAAGTTCAGTTTTCAATCGAACGGGAAGTGAAAATTGTGCGCGCTTCGGCGAACGGCAATCCGAAATAACGGTGACGTACTCCGTCACTGAGTACAAGTGAAACCGCGAATACTGTGCGCATAGTATAGTGTACAATAGATAATTGTATAAGAGGATAATAATTATCCCAGTGACTTGTTCGGATTCAGGAATATTTTTACATTATTAAACATGATCAAAATGTCGAGTATGGTGAGTTAACGAAAAGTCTAGAATTTTATTACTTAGATTTTTATTTCAAAATTTACGTTTTCTATGAGATCTTGTTTATTATATTTATTATCATCAGAAGGAAACTGTTTGTTTCTTCCATTTAATATAAAAATAAGTTTCAAGTACAGCTAATTTGAATTTGATTACTTCCCGTGCAACTTTTTGTTTTTTATCTTTATTTAATTCATAAGATTGATAGATAAATTACATTGTTGCATAGTAAATAAATTGCGAACGTTAATTGTTTTATTTTTTTATAAACGTTGAACGGTTTTATTACTGCTAAGTATGCTTACGTATCGTGACATAACCTATAAGTATAACATAAAAATACTAACAGTAATAAATAGAAAGACAGCAATTAAAATTAAACTATACTTGTGTAAACTGTAACACAATGGTCTGTAAGTTACGAGGCACTTGATTAATAGGCAATATTCATTTATATTGAATTTATGTTGAATATGCCAAAAATATAAATGCAGCGTGTAATATATTTAGTTATAGAATATCAAGAATTGAATGCTTATTGTAATATTTAAATGATGAAATGGACGTTTACCTAAAATACATTTTCTTAAACTGATAAGTACCGTAAATGTTTCATTGCGCATAAAAATCGACAATCTATTGATAAGCGTGAAATGTAAGAAAAAAACCGAGGTGTTTCTAAATATATGGAAGGAATTGTATCTTCCATAAATAGACAATCAAATAAAAAATTTGCATCGCTTTTACATATTCATTAACATTATTTAATACGTTCTAGGTTTCTTCTAGTATACACTTCGTATTTTTCTACTTCGCGCCTATTTTCTATGATTACCATAATAAATTACTGTATAACCTGCGCGTACGAAACGCGTAACACACTACACTTCGGTTTCAGTCTTACTACACTTGTGATTAGAATCTTTGTGTTGGTGCAAATTAAATATTTCCCGACAGTCAAACTTGCGCGATACGTTCGCGACTCTATTAACTTCTTTCCAAGGTTAAAGTATTTTCTCATTACTAGCTTCCCGCAGTATATATTAAGGAATTTTTATGTTTTATTGGTTCGTGCATGGCACATGATTTGCCAATATTAATGAAACCATTAATTAAACATATTGTGATATTTGTTTAAATTTAATTAACAATATTGCATTAAATGATCTGATTTTGCTAAATAGTTATTACATTTTTACATATAATTACAGTTTTAAATATTTTTATCCTTGAATACAAAATTAATTTATAAGAATTTAAAATCCTCACAACACGGTTCTCTACAATTATTATAATTATCGAGGAACCATTCTGCCTACCACTATTTCATGTACGATAAAGATGTGAAATGAAGATTTTATTTCTGTATTTAGAAATATATAACAACAGAATACTCGAGAATAGTTTATAACATAGCAGTATTCTATAGAGATAATTTTAGAAACATGTAGTATCGTTATCGAACGTAAAATTCTGAGTATTGTTTTTATTTCCAAACATTACGTAACTACTCTGTACTGAAGTATCGCCCATTTCGCTCACTAATTGAATCATACTAGTATTATAGCTGTACATGGTAGTTTTATGCAGTTTTATCGGTAACTGTGTATATAGTATTGTAAAAAAGTTTAATGGTCTTCATATCAGTTTAGTAGGATTGTAGATAAAGCAATGATAAGATACTATTGATGTTAAGTTTCACTTTTTTAATTCAATTTTGTTTGTAAGATAAAACAATAGATTGAGTTTCTTTATACTAGACAATATTCTAAGTTGATGTAAATGTTTATTATTATTTTATTTTATGCTGAATTTTAGGTTCATTGATGTGGACTGAAAATTCTTATGGAAAATAATACATTTATGGTACTAGAAAATAATATAAAAAGAAATGTATTTTATACGTATAGGAATTTCTTTCATCATTTAGATTTACGTATTGCAATATTCAAGCATCTTTTTATATCTTATCCGTTTTTGGACATGCAATTTGTCTATAAGTGCATCAAATCTGCATTTAATTATTACATATTACGTTACAATGTGTTATTTCATAAATTAAATTTTACTTTATTTATCTTCTGTGTTAAGTCTTGTGCCTCATACTTCCTTATCAATTAACAAAACTGTGTTATACGAATTTTCAAATAATTATTGCAAGAAATTTTTACTTAAGAAATGTATCATATATTTAATTTTTATATGAATGATACATAAATTCAATTTTATTAGTTTTTGCATTGATTTTCTATAGATTCGTACGAGCTTATCGTTCGATGGAAATTCATACTGTTTAAATCACTATACAATGTTAACAAGCCTCCAATAGATGGCAGCAAAGCTTAAGATATTGCAGGGTTCTTCCTAGCAAATTCAGATTCAAAAAGATACATTGCTTTTCAGAAGTTTGTATCCTCATTCAAATTATTCTCAGAAGTATATATTTATACCGTGTTCATTTTTTAAATGAATTAAGAAACAATGTTTTATTTC